TTCCAGTTTAAAACGCTGCTGCAGTTTATCAATGGTAGTGGTTCGGAGTCATTCCTCCCTGTCTGCTCGAGTTTACTACGAGTCCGTAACAAATGAGGCTTGTTAACAGAAGGTCAGCTACTTTGATAATTTATCGATATCCAATCCCACACACTTGTGGGTGCAATGCCTTACACCTTTGAGTTTTCACTCCATATCTTTCATCCAATAATTTCAACTCTCCCGCCCAGGGTGAAAAGAGATCATCAATTGACTTGTCCTACCCTGATTGGAGCGCGAGGGAGTGTCAGACTCTTACTGACTAAAAACCCTCCGATCTTCTTCTCCTGCTCTAAGCCGAGGCTGAGGTGCCTTATTGCGCTTACTCCATAACCCTGACTGAACTCCAACTCACTCTAAAGTTGTATCCAATAATATTTTATAACTAAAAGGTTCTTATACGCATTTCAAGGATATTTCGTAAGGAATTTATTTGTTTTCAAGTTTGTTAAATGGGATCAAAGAAATAAGTTTTCGAGAAACGCGATTTTTGCTTGAGTACGGTCGGGAAAAGGTTGCTTGGATTTTTTTCTTTATGATTTGTTTCGAGATGAGATGGTTATAACGAAAAAAGTTGCGAGTAAAGAGTATGGTTATTAGATCGTATTGTTCATCTTCTGATTTAATAATTTCAATATGAATTTCTTAAAGCGCTTAAAGATAAGGACACCGTTTTAATTTTCACCCACACGCCATACATAAATACATAATAATGAAGCACGTCATTAATTCTAAACACACGTGTCGGCTGCCAAATCCATTAAGTTCTTGAAAGAGAGATTTTCTACACAAGGAAAACAAAATAATGAAAAAAAATCGGCATAGAAATAAGTGGTTGGGTGTAACGCCACGGCCCTACTTATTCTGAACCCCTGAAGAGCAGCGACACCAAATAGCGGGGAACGAATTAATAATGAAACAAAGAGGCTTATATTTCACGTTCGGGGCGATGAAAACCGACCTTATGAGCAACGAGATACGATCTTAATTGGTAGTACTGCGGTTAGTATTTAGTGCGGCGGCTGGATGCGCCCGCGGCAGCTGACTGCGTCACTGAAGCTCTTTGTTTGAGTTGAAGAGCTGACTCTAATAGCTTGCACCGGATCCGCGCTTAAAAATGGACTTTTAAATATTTTATGAAGAAGTCGGGCGGACGGATAAAAGTTTTAAATTTACATATCCAACATATGCACACGTGGTGGAAAGTTATGCAAATACCTATCTACTGCACGTTAAGTATGGAAACATCTAACATTTGTTTATGATTTATGTTGTATCGCCATGTTTTATTGTAAAGGTCGGAAGTGTCCTTAACACAAAAGGTATTTTACTTAAAGAAATTTTTCTGCGAACCTTTTGAATTTTATTTGAATGTACGAAAATACCAATGAAATGTACGCAGATAAATATACAAGCCAAAATAAAGATTTGTATTATACAGCTTTTATAGTGTACACCTTAAAAGGCCGACAACGCGCTTGTTAATTCTTTAGTGTTGCAGGTGTCCATAGACAACGCTGTCTCTTGTCTCTTCCATAACTATCTTATCCTCGCACGATTTTACCTGCTGCTCGAATCCGTTTGATTGTAGCGTGATGTTTTATAGCCTATAGAACTCAGGAACATTATAGCTATCTATCAGTGAAAGAATTTCGGCCTGCCGACCAGTTGTTCCAAAGATTACACCCTATATACAAACTTACAAATTTTACCTCTTTAAAATATTAGTATAGAAACGCTATACATATTGCAAGTCCATGGTCGTGTTTTAAGATAAATCACATGTACTGCATAATGTACGTCACGTTAAGAAAATGAAAAAGTCCATATTTATTTAAAGCCTATTTTATTTTATTACATTTTATCTAAAGATAATTACTATGTAAATGAATAAAGGGCTAATGAAAAATAATTTAATCAGAACGTTTATCGCTTTCAGGTATATTCAAGACCTGTAACTTAGATTTATTATATTTGACCAAACGAAGCTATTTAATGTTCTGGTAAATTCTAGTAAATTCAGTGGGTATTATTAATATACCTAATAGTTGTATTCAAAAAGTAATTATTACAGTTTTTTCTTGGCTAGTTTCAACTATTATTGTAATCGTTCAAATTATTTTTATTTTCTTTTTAATATACATAGATAAATTGAAATCTTTTCAGCTATTACATAATTTTTATTTATCTGTTTTTTCTGTTCTGGTTTACAGTTACAACCAGTGTCAATACATGAAAACATACATAAACACAATGAATTTTGAACCTTACGTGCCTAAATATAAGACCTGTCCTTATTAAACAATGCGATTCTTGTAAATAAACACTTTTGAATTTGAATTTGAATAAATGTTAAATACAATTTTGTGCTAGTTCCGATGTGATCCATATAAAATATTATAATATATTTAAAATCTTACATTTTTGCATCAGTATATGGTTGACGTATAAACTTTTAACTGAGTTACTTTCTGTTTATGATGAAGTTGAGGCCTGACACCGGCGGTAAGTGGAAAAGTTGTACGGAACCCTTGTTTATTTCAAATAGTTCTGGGGCCACACTAGGTAACATAATTTGTTCAGCAAATTACTAACTCGCCCGTTCTATAAAATATGAGGTGTTCGTACTTTAGAGGAATTTTTAAATTAATTGGACCAACTTCGTTAGTTGAGAGGTCGAAATTTACAGACTTGCTCTTTTAGCTGTGGCGAGTAAGGGCAGCTCGCCGCCCGACCAGAACCAGACCGTACGGTGCGTAGCGTTCCGCGCGCGCCTCAAAGAGCCAATAGACCACCACAGACGGGGCCCTATAGGGCTGATGTTCAGCTGGGGTTGCGGGGTAAGCGCAATGAGGAACCGCGACCTTGGCCCAGAGCAGGAGAAAGAACGGGGAGGTTTTTAGTCAGTAAGAGTCTGACGCTCTCTCTCGCCTTACCCTGGGCGGTAGAAGTCATTGGATGATTTTCCCAAGACAAAAAAAATGCTCTTTTAGCTGTAGATTTTTGCCCCTTAGTCAAATATCAAGTTTTTACAGACCTTCTTTCGTTTGTCAAAGGGACAATACAAGATGTACCTCAGTAGTGCTTTTATGTTATCCTTATATTATAACTCCTGTATAAGGTCAGACCCTGTAGAATGCTCAGACCCTGTAGAATGCTCAATGCATTAAGTCTACCTTGTGTAAATTTTCTTGGTGTATGAAGCTTTAAATAAAATAGCTAAATATAAACGCGAAATTTTGTAAGCATAGAGGGGGATGTTTGCTACAGCCGCTGGCAGAAGCTAATGAGTTCCATAAAAAGAGGTGTTTATTATTAAAAAGTTTGTAAAGTGCCAAATCGGGATTTCGTATCTATTTAATAGTATCGAGATAGCAGTTATGTATCGGATAAAATCGAATATAGAACGTAATTTATGTGATATGTGCACATATATGGAAGGGGTGACACAGGTCCTTAGTGAAAGGTAATCTTTTCTTACCCACAGATATGATCAGCTTATAATGCTGAGTTCTTACACGGAGCATATTTGAGCATTAATCACCACGCTTGCTCAAGGCGGATTGGTGATTTCAAACTTCACATCATCAGCCTATACTTCACTGCTGAGCAAAGGCCTCTTCTCACACGGAGAAGGCTTTAGCATTTATCACCACGCTTTTTGCTCAAGGTGAGGTTAATGATGAATGATGAATTGGCGATTTCAAACTTATAATAAGTCTCCTTCCTCACACTGTTTTCATTCTCCGTTGTCAGTGGTGTCTAAATAATCACAGAAAGTACATTATATGCATAAAACTCGGAAAAAGTCACATTGGTACTTGCCAAGTTTTGAACCCGCACCATCATAATTGAAAAGTAAGTGCCTTAACCTCAGGGCCACCACGAGCATATTACATGATTTAAAAAAGCTACACCTCAACTCCTAAGAGAAATAAAATGAAAGATCACGTTGTAGTATAAAGCGGAAAATATCAAGCCAATTTATTATGTAATAAGTTAAAAATACAGCTCCAAGGTTTTACTTATTCTAAATTTATTTGTGTTGGCGTGGTTTACTGTTGGAAATCTGAGATGAAGTAATTTACTTAGCTACAATAATATTTCAAATGTATAAACTGGGATTCTTGTTCTGTTCAAAGTTTTCTTGGAAATATGAGGTAGGTACGTGTTTTTGTAAAAAAGGTTTGTGGTTTACTTGTAATTGTTTAAAAGACAGGTACTCTATTAAAATGAACAAGTTGTATTTCTCTATATATGTATATGAAAGAAAGTCGTGTTTGTTACTTCACTTATATCTAAACGCCTAAACCGATTTGGCTGAAAATTCCTAGGGTGTTAGCTAAGAACTGGGAGATGGACATAGGATAGAGTAGGTAGTTTAGGTTAGGTAGAGTAGGGTGTGTAGTACGCCGCGGGTAATAGCTAGTTTATTTATAAAAAAAAAACCGAATGCACAAAGTCTTTTACAAAAGGTAGACTTTAGGGTGCATTATCTACCAGTCAAAATTTACAATTACAAATATGTAATATGCTCAGTATTGTTCAGATTTCCTCGTGATCTTTCCTGCAATGCCTGTCAGCGGGTCTAAACAATCTTAGGTAGCACATAAAACGCAAAAAAAGACACATTAATACTTGGATTATTTCAAATCTGCGCTCTCATAAGGATGAAAGGGGGCGCCATGACTAAATCACTATCCTTCGTTTAATGATTGGAAAGTTGAATATTACTTCTTACTAATATTATAAATGGGAAAGTTACGACGTTTGGATGTTTGTAACTCAATCACGTCAAAACGGCTGGACGGATCTGGTTGAAATTTGGTACAGGCATAGGATACACTCCGGAATGGGACATAGGCTACTTTTTATCAACAAAAGACGTGGGCGAAGACGCGGACGGAAGCTGGTGAAAAAATTAAACCCAAATTAATATGAATATAAATGGAATTACATACCTCTAGTGCCGGTGAAATTCCAATCAGCATCATGCGTATGTGTACTCCGAGCGTATGGTGTACGCCTCGACCGGTTGCCAGGCAACCGCGACCGACTCTCCGCCACTACAAATAAAGAACAAGCTTTTTAATAAATTCTGGATAAAAAATAACCTCTTGTTTGTTTAATACCGCATTTGGTTGAAAATAAACGCCAACATTTGGCAATTTGTCTAGCCAAAAATAAGTTATATCGACATTTTAATACAATAAAAAATTAAATAATGATCAAACTTTTGTTATATAGTTTTATGTTATGTCTAATTTTAAATTTTTCATGCAAAAATATGATGTAGCGACACAAAATGTCGAACAAAATCTATAGGAAACAGACGTTTTTATCATTTAAAATACAAAATAAAACTAGCTATTTTATTGGCTTGTGTATGTGAGTGTGTTTTGATAGTAAACGCACTCACGACATAGGAGAAAATTCAAGTTATGGATAATTGTAAAGTAATATATTTTTTTTAAAACTATCTTTCAAACGAATTTGATCTTTACTGCTTACGTTAATATAACGTTAACGTTGTTATTCCACTGAACGCCAGCTTTTTAGTGAAGAGCTCATCAGAATTGTTAGCAAACTCGTGAACTAATTTGACCTTAACGGTCTTAGAAAGATTAATATTAAACTTTAAAATTCCCGTGATGTTAGACGTGTTTGCTGTGCTAATTAGGTAGGTGCTTCTTATTACCAGGAAATAGTTTTTTACTTAATAAGATCTTTTCACTTTAAGATAACAAGTTCGTTACCTTATTTCCTAATTGCTTCACTTTATTAAATCGAGGGCAAAGCGTAAACGCCCTTTTAAAACTTTTTTTAAAACAATAAAAAACTTCAAGGTTGTTTTCTAAAGAGAAAAGTTATTCAATCAATTTTTTAATTACAACCTTTTAATATTAAAAGAAATCGGATAAAAAGGAGCTGTTTATCCTAATTACAGTAGCTAATTTAGCTCTGTGACTTTACTTGGTTGTTCGTGTAATACGTACGTAGTGGTTTTGTAATAAACGTAGTCAGAATCTTTTTTTAATTGTTTTTTTTTCAATCTTTATTTAAAAGAGATTATTTGCAATTACAAATATGACACTCCGTACACAAAACAAAAATAAATTAAAATATTTAAAAAAGAAGACTTAAGGCAAAGATGATCTCCGCCTTAGACCCTCTTTAACTAAACTAATAAGTACTTCAACTCTTTCACAAAGTGGAGACGATGGTAAATTTATATAAAAACCTATATTGTAACATTCTTTACCAAAAAATCGATGCCTTAACTCCTTATTTTTAATGGTTACTTATAATCCCACCACTTAGTCCTAAAGCTGAGGTTGCAGGTATAAGAGCAATAATGTACTGAAGCCCTGACTGGAGCAGGAGAAGGATCGGGGGCATTAAAGTCAGTAAGGGTCAGACACTCCTTCTCGCTCCATCCAGGGCATGCGAAAACAGTAGATGATTTTCGCCCTCAAAAATAAACCCTTTTTTCCGAACAAAACTGCTACTAAGGAAAAGCAAATTGTATCCTTGCTCGTACGGTATCAATACGAAATTCCTTAATACTTACCATCTATTAAGTACTCTGAAACTCCATAAGCCTGATCCTTTGTGTTACTGACAAAGCATTGATACACTCCTTGGTCGTCCTTCTGAGAATTCTTGATATGTAATCTTAGGCCGTCTTCAGACATTTTTATTCTCTCGTTGGGTTTGACAACTTTTGCGTCGTGGACCCAGTAGACAAGTTCTATTGGATGCCCTGACACTTTACATTCAAATGTGACGTCAGCATTCGTTTTCGTTCGCACCACTTCGGGTTTTATTCGGACGGAGATGGGTTCTGCAAAAAAGGATGAAATATTAGGGTCTTGTTATGTTCTCGGTATTTTTAGTTAAAGCTGACAATATTATTGAGTGATATACACGTCGAGTGCCAAGGTCGTATGCACAAATCTTTGTTCATACTTAAATGAATAATGATGTAGTCACAATATGTCCTATATTTAATAAATAACACGATACATGGAAGTAAATATCTCATAATATCAGCTTTATTCGTCATCCGCTTACAAAAGCCAACTGCTGAGCATAGGCCTCTTCTCACACGAGAAGGTTTGAGCAATAATCACGAAACTTGATTAAAGCAGACTGGTGTTTTCGAAACTTTAATTAGAAACTATTAGGCCTGGTTTCTAAATACGACGTTTGTCCGTGGTTTCTAAATAAACATAACTCAGAATAAGTCTCCAACCGTCATGCATGAGAAGCGAGTGCCTTAACCTCCGGCCCACCACAACGGTATCACCCGGTTACAATAGGGACGAAGTTGTAATTCCAAAAAATTCTAATATTACAAAAGATTTTATGGACTTATTGGTCAAGCTTGACTTTGACTTTGATTTTGAAGCCTTAACAAGCTTTATTGGCGACAGACATACAAGATTCGATCCTTGGGGCAGGTTAGGTTATACGACGGTATTAATCTATCTTTCCTTACGACATGTGACGTCACGTTTATGTGTACCTGTTTAATAAGTATTCATGATGCAACTGATGGACTTCAAAATTACCAAATAGCATTTTATTAATTTTGATACCCATTTATCATCCCTTTTTAAGTGATAAAATCAATCATTCCTTTCTTATGTGATGAAATGGTTGGCAGTCGGTGTCGTCCATTGGCTACCGCAACGCCATGTGTATGTTTTTGGCCTTTTGGGGATTAAGTGTTGTGGGGATTTAGGGATTTGGAAGGAAGGGCAAGGAAGGGCAAGGCCTCCGTTAACCTTACTCGCACGGCGACCCCCAAATCCACTATCCAAAACTAATATTATAAATGCATAAGTAACTCTGCCTGTCTGTCTGTTTTTTCTTCACACATAAACTACTGAACCTATTTGTATGAAATTTGGTACAGACATAGTTGGGAATTCGAGAAAGGATATAGGATAGTTTTTATACCAAAAATCTGCAGGAAGTCACTATACCACGCGAACGGAGTCGTGGGCAAAGGCTAGACCTTAATAACCTGCAAAAGGCCAGTAACGCACTTACAGTAACTCCTTTGGTATTACGAGTGTACATTGGCGGCGCAAATAGCTTACTATTAAGCAATCCGGCTCGTTTGCCGACCCATGCCATAAAAAAACGATTAATTCAATAAGAAGGAATACAGAAGTTATTGTGTAAGGATAGGGAAACTGTTTACACAAATTAAAGGCGTGTGCTTTTCATGTTTTTTATTTTAAGAGAGCTCACTCCATACGTATTTTTGTTACACATTTTTTCGTCCATTTTGTATAAAAAATTCAAATTACGTTCGTATTTTTTTTTTGCTATCGCTTTATTGTTTGTTGATGCTTTCTATTTTTGTTACTGGAACTACATAGATAGGTATTATTTTAGTTTTTGTTTGTATTAAAAACAAGTAATTTAGTTATAGGTATTTTTTCATCAGTGAAGCTAGGTGTTAGTTCCAAAGTGTAGATTCGAATGGAGAACAACGAGCACAAACACACAATCTTCATGAAGATCCACCAAGAAACACCATTAAAAATTGAAATCCATGAAAAAAAATGTATCTTATGTATAAGCTTTTTTTGTTCTCTTATAAGTCTGGTCAGGAAGCACTTATAAGACTGTCTACTTTGAAGAGAACAGTATAGAGGCAGTTTCACCCGCTACTCAGCTTCAACAGATCGTAGCGTGGTGCTAAAAAAGCCTATCTCAAAAATGGTCTATTAAACCCAAAAATATTTTTTCAGTTCAAACCAGTACCTAGTTCCTGAGATTAGCGAGTTCAAACAAACAAACTCTTCAGATTTATAATATTATAATTAATAAATAGTATATATACAATGTTTGTATTGAAAAAAAAATAGAGGCAGTCTCGAGTTCTAAAGTGTTTGAACATATACTATAGTTCTTACTGATATTATTTATAATAATTTATAATAGAACAATAGTATTTGGTTTACCAAATGTGAAATACGAAAGGAAAATATCGATTTGATATTTTTAGCCTGTATGTAAATATTGATATTTGTTGTATCGCTTATTTCAAAATAGCACTGTGTTGTTTAATACTCGTAGTTGTGTTTGTTTCCAGGTATGGGTAAAAATATTGGTATTTTAAAGTAGAGTGACCGTCCTCCATTATTTTCGAATGTCAATAAGTAACAATAGTTTAACTACCATACTTGCCGATTTTTTTGTTGGTTAACGAATTTTTTGGTCTTCGTTGGACTGTGTTAAATAATTATTAAATGACTATGAGGGCCATATGATGTTACAACCATCAATTTATCTAGATAAACCACTAGTTATTAAGCACTCATTTGAAAGTTTAATAAAAACCTTGGAACACTTTAAAATAATTATCTGAATAAGAAGCTAATAGTCATGTCTGTTAGCTTATTTTAAACTTTAACGACACACCACTAAGTGTTTTTAGAGTGGGAGAGCCAATCTTCAGCACCAATGAGCCGGATCCACCAGCGGAATACCACAACTTCATAGAAAACTGGCGCAAAACATTTGCAGACGTGTAATTCGCCGTTAGGTTACCGGAAGCCCTTAATCCCCAAAACCCCATAACTTCAATATTCCGGCAACGCACCAGCAACTCCTCTGGTACATCGGGTGTAAATTGATGGCGACGATTGCTGACTATCAGGTAATCCGTCAGCTCTTTTGCCGCCAAAGGATACGTTAGTATGATTTTCATTAAACTCACCTGTGATTATAAGTGTGAAGTGCACGGACTCTCCCCCCACTGTGTTGTTGAGCCAGCACACGAAGCGGCCAGCATCCTCACGCCGCAGCGCCTGAAGGCTCAGCAAACCACTGCCAAGGAGCCGCGCTCGCGACCATAGAGCTGTCTTCTCTATGGGAACTAGCTCTTCGTGGTGTTCGCGAAACCACCTGTGAGAAAAATAGATTCATTATTATAAAGATACTTATTTAGTAAGTAAATTAGATTTTTGTCGATAAGTTCGTTTAGGTATTTCATTTGCTAATTATTGATAATGATTACTAGGCTATAGATAAAAATGGATCGCAGAATGTGTTGGTAAGCGCATAACTCAACAACGCCTGGACCAATTTTGCTAATTCTGTTTTTGGTGTGTTTGTTATTGTCAGGGAAAGGTTCTTATCAAGAAAATATTAGATAAAAATTAAATTTAAAATTTAAAAAAAACCCCGACTTTATAAAAACCAAATGTATTATTATTAAAAAATTAAATTAAAAATTTAAAAAAACCCCCGACTTTATAAAAACCAAATGTAATCTATAAAGCGCCATTTTGTAGAGGCTGCCATCTTGGATTTTAAATTTTTCATACCTAATAGTATTTCACTAGTCAAGCCCTTTCATTTGATACCCATATTGATCAAGTTGTAATAAAAAAATGTAGGTAAAGCACCATTTTGTAGAAGCAGCCACCTTGTATTTTAAATTTGTCATATCTAATAGTATTCTACTAGCCAAGCCCTTTCATTTGATACCCATATTGATGGAGTTTAAAAAAAAATTCTAATCTGTCATTTTGTGGCGGCGGCCATCTTGGAACAATTTTCATCAAACTTACGTAAAAACACTCTCGACATTTTCTACTGTCAAACAAAAAAAACTAAATCAAAATCGGTCCATCCGTTCGGCGGCTAGAGTGGTACAGACAGACACACACACACACACAGACACGTAAAACTTATAACACCCCGTCGTTTTTGCGTCGGGGGTTAAAAATAGAAGGGAAAATTAGGAAAAAGTGACCCTTTGACAGGGAGATAGTTGGTACGAAGCGGGGGCGGGCCATTAGTAATCCATAGATTTAGGTACTATTTGGTCTGAGGTTTTGTCTAATCTTTTTTGTCGAAGCTTTTAACTTATGGTAATAGTGGGCAATAGTGAAGTTAGTTATAGTCAAAATTAAATAATCTAAAAATAACTTCCTCATTACTACGACTATATTCTATACCTGTGCCAATTTTCATTAAAATCCATTCAGCAGTTTTTACGTGACTGAGTCACAAACACCGATCCCAAATTAAACCATTCGCGTTCGTAACGTTAGTAGGATTATAAAACATTTAAAAATATTATGTTTCATAACAAATTACTTTCTATAAAAGCTATACTACACACCTAAATATACCAATACAAAGCTCTTAGATAAATGTGTGCGATCGACTCATTTATCGACACCGCCCTAGTTTCTTGGAGGAGGGTACATTCAACAAGCATAGCGTCAATAGTGAACAGATTGTGACAAATAATCTCATTGTTATGACAGTCATAATGATGTATCACTTCGCCTTTCATAGTTCCACCATAGAAAATATGGCTCATGGTATTTCGCTTTTTCATTTTTGATGTCTTTTTTCCAAGTAAATTGTAGAGGTATTTTGATTGAGGCTTGTTTTTTTCTGCTTAAGGCTCATTATTATACTTAATTTTAATATAAATAAATCTTTAATTTTCCTGGAAGGTTCCCAACTTAGTATAATTGGTTTAGGTATCAACCTGACTTGGCTAGATTTGGCTTGTAATATCATGCCTAATACCTGGAGTTTTTATTTTTATTACCAAGTGGATTACGTAGGCAAGGCACTTATTTCACAATTCTCAGTAGGCAGAACAAATAGTTTTAGAATGTAAATCTAATAGTTTGAAACAGGATCACCTATAACAGATAAAATATAAGATTTTAGCCACAGTCCACTCCAAGGAATAAGATGTCACCATTATCAAGAGCTTTCGAATATCTTACAACTGGTACTAAAAATGACCTCTTCCTATACTCGGAGAAGCGACACCATAAAAAAACCATTGTGTCTCGCGTGTATCTGCGCTTCGGCTTATTACGGATTGGTGGTTGGTTGGCGATTGAAAGCGAAGTTACAATATCTAGTTCTTCATCGTTTCTCAGAGGTATCTCAATAATCAGAAAAAGTGCAGATAACTAAGAATATGTTATATTGGCTTGCCAGTTGAGTAATGCCATTTTCACATTCGCGCCCTCATAATTACTAAGACCTCAATAACAGATGACACTGTATTCATATGATCTTTTGCTTTAAATATCGAACAAAAATATGAGTACTAGCTTAAAATTTACTTTCAAACGATGTAAAATTAGGTACACCTGTTTGTTCGGTACGACAAAGAAATCGAACTCGTATCCTTCTCAAATACTTTACGACAAACGAAACAAGGCAATCAGGTAAAATAGAAAACTTGTTTTTCGTAAAACTTGTCAAAGAGAAAACAAGTAATCACATGAATTGGATACAAGTCTTTGTAGACTAAGTTAACATTTTGTTTTGTTTCAGAATAATGTGTTTATACGTAGAAAAACTGCCAAAGCGTGTGTCAAATAAAATGTCCCACTTTACATTAATTATTATTATATTTTATGCTCAAACCACCTTACCTAATGGTAAGCAACCGAAGCCTATAGACACCCGCAGCACCAGAGGCGTCGGAAGAGATAAAGGTTTTGGGGATTGGAAAGGGCTTGGGGAGAAGGTTTTCTTTGTGGCAATGGTATCGCTACGGTCGAGCCGGCTCATGCATGCCAAAGCATGGCTGCTTGTGACCATGGCAGGACGCATGGCTCTCGCACACTTAATTAATTGCTACCTATTTATTATCTTTACAACTGTTCTTTCTGATTACAGTATCAGAAACGAAGACATAATAGACATCATGTTGATATAACGCCTAAAAACAAACAACATAAAACTACAAAAATATTGGCAGTACCCGTTCGTGTAAATACCCAGTTATGTTCGTCAAAGAGGTATTTGTTCCACGTAATAGAGATTTCGAGAAAAACATTCAACTTTAATATTATAGTACGTTTAGGTAAAAGAATCTGAGGCACCAATATCAATTTCGTAACCCTTTCTAAGTTGCGAAGACATTTTTGTAGGACGAATTAATGGAAAATATTCGCAGTGCCTTTTCACTTGATGTATTTAATAACTCTTTACATAGTTTCTGTAAAGGGTTTATTTGAACTTCAATTACTCCCTCCAAAAGTTAAACTACTGTAACTTATTCCGGGACTGTCCAGTTAATGTCACGCAAAAGAGACCTTTACAAAGTTTCAGCTTTCCACTCGTTCAAAACACGACAAGCTTCGTGAATACGGTCTAATATCCTATGCGCAAATTCACGGAAATGAAATGGCTATGTGGCGCGAAATCTTCAATGTTCTCCGAGTTAGGTTCTCTTTTAGAAATAGTTTTGAAAGGAGTTGAAATGCACCGAGACATTTGCATTCTAAAAGGATTCTACGAACTATGGCTGGATATGAAAGTTTATGGCGTATTCAGGAGCACGCTGCGGTGATTCTTTGAAAACATAAAATGTTATCAGTTCGCTGAAGAAGTTTCTCAACTTTTATGCACTATAGAACTATACTACTCGTTTCAAAATCACCAGAGATTTTATTTTTATTTGGTTCCGTATTTTGTTGTTTGTCTGTTGTTTGTGTAACAGATATTGAATATATTCTCATGGAAATATTTTTTATGGGATAAGTAGATAAGATAGTTGCAAATAAACAGCATCACACGTATCACCTGATGGCGCACAACCTGTGACTTTCGGTTTTGGAATAGGTAATGGATGGAGGGGGAACCTCACTCACACCGTGATGAACAACGCTTAGGAAGTACTTCTATACGAAGATGGTCCTGTTATAATAATTTTACTTTTTACGAATCACTCACCACACGACGCATATCAGAGTATCGAAATTATTGCACGCGGTATGCAAGAAATTGGAATACGTTTGAAAATTTAATCATATCCATACCTAGGTTTAGAAAAACCGGGTGTTCTCAAAGCAGTGATCTACTTATAGAAGCAAACTTATCGTTTGTGTACCGAGTACCTAGTTGCAACCACGTTTAAAAGACAAATACTAAGAGAAGGAAGTTCTGTACGCCAAGCATCGACCCATGAGTTCGGTTTGTGCGGCTATTTGACTAAACATGGCCAAGTTTGCCCGCTCAAACTTGGCAACGTTTTCTAGTTTGTACTTCTAGCCAGTTTTCAGGTACTGGGTACGGGAACTAACTGAACTTACCTGTGTTGTTATTATTTTGCAGAATATATTTTCATTTTTATTTAATTCTTCTTCACACAAAACAGTCAACCATAGTGTAGTGCAGAGAAATCATGCGGTTGGTGCAAAGCAAGGACACTGTGTCCTAAAACAAATATGAGAGGAGAAAGAAAATAGAAGAAACAAACACGATTCTTTACTACTACGTATTTGTTTGATGCAGGGTTTCGGGTTAGTTTGGGGATTTAGATCAGATAGACCTTATGACAGTCCCCGTAAATCGAAGCTGCATATTGTGGTTGTCTGCTTCAATTCTAACAATATTTCTATTGAGATTATATTTCTTGAAGTCACAAAATATTTTTTAAAATTACACAATGATGAATCTTTGGTAATTAAGAATTTAACCCTAACCGAACATTTTAATATTTTTCGATTGAAAATTACAAAAATCTCTGTACTTTTTTTTGAGCGCACTCGTGCTCTCTCGCTCTCTCTCTGTGCGTGGTGAGAGCAAGTGTCAGACACTTACAGACTAAAAACAACCCCGATCCTTTTCCTGTTCTAGGCCAAGGCCGCGGTATATTACTGAGTTTAACCTCAACCTCGGGTGAACAAAAACTTAGGTAAAAGTTAAAACTATTTAGTACAAAAACTAATACACTTGTTTGTTTCTTAAATGTGTAAATGACCTTTATGTCTCTGATTCAAAGATCTTAACACACACAAGGGTCAAAATAGCGTCGTAACAACCATCAAAACGATTACATTATGAAAATCTATTTAAATTACGTGCCATTTTGCCTTCCAGAGAGAAACTAAGTACAGCAAACGTAGCTAGCTATATTTTAAGGGTATAATGCAATTTACCGGGTTTTGCGGTCTAAATTGCTCCTTGGCAGTTAAAACGAATCACGTCGCGTGGGGATTATAAAATGGCGGTTAAATCTCGACGCGAGATCAAAATGCTTTGACGAGGAAATAAAACGGTCAGTGTGGTCGTCCCGTGTATAGGTTTTAAGGGATTTCGACTGTGAATTTTAACACATTGTTTTCTGCCGAAATGTTTCGGATCTCCTACAGGATGTTCTACAAAATTTCCGCTTCATTTCGTTCGGAACAGCGGGTATTGTATTAAAATATATCAGAATAATATTATTTGGAATATTATTAAACTAGTTTCAGTTGAATTGATACATAGAGTTCTCTTTAGCAGGGTAAAATAGAAATATAGAATTTCATTCGAATAATACTGTGGAGTTTTGCGAATTGTGATGCATATCCGGAATAAAATGGAATACGTGTAATTGAAATTCAGCCAATTTAATGGTATTGGTAAATAAAAACTACAATATTTACATATGTAATAATTAAATTAAACGTTCTTGGTATTCATATCAATGTAATATATGTATATTTATTTTAAATAAAATTTGTTTAGAAAGAGGGTCAAATTTGTAGTGTATTGCCGTTTGGTTTATTTATTTTGGAATTCGAGGCAAAAGAATACTGGTCAGTTGATGCTAAACAATCTGCAACGCACACCAGCAACGTCAAGCAGTTGCAAGTGCGATGCTGGCTGTCTTAGGGTTTGGGTTTTGGGGATTGGGGGTCGAATGGGACAGGGCGAGGATTGGGCCTCCGATCAACTGCATTCACACAGCAAAATACAACGTACCTAAGTGTAGTGTCACGATGCTTGCTTCTAAGGCCGTTGTATCACCCTGTTCGAATTAGCCCTTTCGTGCCGAAGCATAGCTTTTTCACAAGTTATCATACTTATAATATTTATAAAGACCTTATACATAAAAACCATCAGTGGATAGCAATTACAGGGTTTTTACGTAAAACTCAAGGTCTGTATTTAAGTAAAAGCAGTGGCTTTAGCCTCTTTGCGCTTGATACCGTCGCAGTCCGTTGTTTGCTTACTGAAGCGATACCTTTTAGCTAGAGAATACCGTGAGAGAAAATGTTGCCATGTTTTTTTCTTATTCTGCTATGGAGACAAACTTTATACAGGGTGACTGTGTCGTGGTTTGATATATAAACTGCTTGGTTGTGGTTTCTGGTCATCCTATTTATATTTTGTATGGAGATTTTTCTTTGGGTGAAGATCTAGTAGTTTCTAACTAGTCAAATTCAATACTTTTATCCAAATTAATGTCAAAAACGATACTTTGCTATAAAATTTGTATGAAAAACTGAGTTATGACGTCATAGTTTTTTGTGTCAAATTGTTTACTCATTTCTTAAAAAATAGCTAAAAAGATTCTAAAATGCAGTGTATCGATCGATCGATGAATAAAAGTATAGTTATTTTTTAATATTTTATTGTATTGAAACGTCGAAATAATTTATTTTTGACCCAGGAAACTACCCAATTGAGTTTTGACGTATTTGTTTTAGATTCATTTCTTTAAAATCTAATTGAATTGATGTACGAATTTGTAATCGCAGTTAAACCAAAAGAAAGATCTAACTAAACCAACAAAATGATTACGAAGATATTTAGCAGTTTAGTTTCAAAGAATAATTGCGTTACACCTAACTATTATACCTTGTTTATGTGCTCAAATCATAGAAACCAAATGATTTATTAATATCATACAACATCGAAACTTATTGTATTTAACTAAACCATATAACAGAGTCGACAATAGTTCATAATGCATTCTTACCTGTAGCTAGGCACAGGCCACGCGTGCGCAGCACACGGCAGCCGGACATCATGCCCGGCTTGAATGCGGCGCGTGCGCGGCTCTATCGCCAGCCGCGGTCTCACGCCACCTTTTGGTTCTGTCACTATCACGTGACCTGGTTAAAAATATAATTATATTAGTATGTGAAATCGTAATTATATAGTGTATATATCCAGGGTAAAAAGATGTTTTGCAGTCTGTAGAGTTCTGCAGTCTTTGTCAAAAAACGGCTTCGACATTTAGACGAATAACGAGATTTGGACGAAATAGTAGTCTTTATTTTAGATCAATGTCCTTACGTAATTACAAAATAATGAAGATTCATGCTAAAACTATTCACATTTGCAAAAGAAAAAGATTACAAAATTTGAGCACGTAAAAATGCTTTCAGGATGTTTGAGTCCTGCTTTTCCGCAATAACCTTTATTATCTTCTAAGTAGAAAATTCTATTTATGTAGTGTACTATTTATGTATCTTAAAAGGTTATAAATATATACTGACGAGGTAATAAGCCTAAATGAACGGGAATAAATTAATTATTTGCTATAAAGTTGGTCAGTTACTTATTAAAAACTTTTTATAGCTAGTCTGCTTCATCTTCTTAAGCCTGCTGCTACTTCTGTAAGCATCTACAGCAGATGCAATCATAAAAGTACCAAATATAAAAAATGAAGTCACCATTTCATAGGGATAAACACAAGTGATTGGCTCTCGCAAAGAAATAGATCAGAGGATATCATTAGTAGAGAATAAATATAATTAAAAACTTACCAAAATAAGGGCTAGTGTACAAGGTCCCGGTGATCCGGTCCCGTACGCGGCACCTGAATGCGTTGTGCCGGTCTAGTGGGCTCACCCCACTTATGTACAATGAGCCGTCGTCTAGACGCTGGTACTTAGACCCTGAAGCAAACATTACTGGTTGTACTAAACTTAATAGGTATAGAACTTGAAGATTATACGAGATTTCAGATTTGTTCTCTATAACTGAGAACGAACGGTTGACGTCCTTTCTTTTATTATTTTGGTAGGAAATTAATTATTGGCCCAGGTCTATCAAGATTGTTAGGTACATAAAGAATGATATTAATATTCCAGTCATGTTTAAAACTCATAAGATGACATGTATTATCGTCCACTAATAGTAACATTATAGAACAGGTCTAGTTAAGCTAATGTAGTTCTTTTCTCAAAAGACCACTACAGAATGAATCAGAAATCTTCTTACACATCATTTTATATTCGAATGGACTATAAAAAAAGTGTTTTTGTTTCTATTACTACTTTTGTGTTTGTTTCGACGTTTCTTTCAAACTAGATTTTTTGATGTGATGTTGATGTTTTTTTGATAATGTTGATGAAATTTATTTGCAGCTACATTCAGTTACAAGTGCGTTATCGGCTTTGTTTGGGATGTTAAGGTTTTGAGGATTCGGCCTCGGCTTGGAGCAGGAGATGGAATGGGGGGTTTTTAGTCAGTACGAGTCTGACACTCGCCCTACCCTGTGCGACAAAAGTCATTTGACGAGACTTCGACCACAAAAAAGAGGAAGAATTGGGCCTCTGGAAACCTCACTCACACAGTGAAACATAATGTAAACGTTGTTTTACGCCGGTATTCCACAAGCCGTTTATTGTTTGGGATGTTAAGGTTTTGAGGATTCGGCCTCGGCTTGGAGCAGGAGATGGAATGGGGGGTTTTTAGTCAGTACTTTTACGCCTTACCCTGTGCGACAGAAGTCATTTGACGAGACTTCCACCACAAAAAGGAGGAAAGATTGGGCCTCCGAAAAACTCACTCACACAGTGAAACATAACGTCAACACAAGGCCGCTAGGTCTCTCAATATGGTTTAAGGTATAAGTAATTTAAAATTAGAATTACACAGATTTTATAGTATAAGTCTACAAATCCAAAAGTTCGCACGTTAAAGTTACGAATTACTATGAATGTACACAATACAAAATGTATCCAGTAATATTTATTTTAAACGTAATACAAATGAAATTCACTACACTAATTTAAACGCAGGTGTGACGGATACGAAATATTGCACCCACCAAATGTCCACATTTATATTAAATGAAATTAAATTGTTTGCAGTTTCATTCAGACTTTATAGTCATATGTGATTATTTGCTATTTTTTTGGCATAAATTCTTTACATCTTACTCAGTGTGTTTAATTGGTAACTTAATCCAATCTTTAACAACTGTTTTCGGAAAAAAAAATGTTTATGTAATAAAAAAATGTCTGTTAGCAGGGAAGTAAGACTGTACAATGATTGATCATCATTTTTAGGATCATGATCATGATCATCATCATCATCATCATCATCATCATCATCATCATCTATAGACCTATTCAATTGCACGCCACTAAGCTCGATGCACTTCGAATCGAAGCCCTTCTCATCCAATAACTGCACTGATATCCTTAGTCCATGAATGTTTTTTTTCGACATTATCCAAGTCTTTTGCCGTGATTATTATCCATAAAAAATTAAGTTCTCTTATTCCTCTCTTTTAGTCTGATATTCTTATTTCAATTATTTAAGTACATCCTTCATCAGGATCATGACCTATATTTGTATAGTTCTTACTATTATAATTATCAAATTGTTACGTTTTAACTCTCTTAAGAATTTGGTCTTGTAACTGAATTTTAGAAGACGCGACGCGTTTCGGGTTGCTTCGTGAGTGGAAAAGTTAAAATTCATCGAAAAATAGAACAACAAGACTGCCATATGGCTATGTTATATCATTACTATTAACACCGTCTTTGCATACTATGTTTACGCAGATAAGAAAACAACGATTTAAACATCAGCGCATATATACAAAAACATTAAAGTTTTCTGCAAACGCAAAAATTGCCATAATGGATTTAAGCACAGTCTCAATAGGTTGCCATAATGGAAATGATATTGCACAGAACATCGTAGCACGTTATATCCTTGCAAAAATTACCTTATACCGAGGTGCAAAAAGATTATTTTAACTTATTATCAGTATTATATTTGAAAAAAGAAAATTTCTGCTACAAATAATGATCAAAGTAAATAATCTACGAGATCATCAACCACTACATATTATATAAAAGAAGTCGCGTTCTCTGTCCCATACATATGTGTGATTAAATCTTTAAAACTACACAAAGGATGTTGTTGCAGCTTTTAAAATAGATAGAGTTATAGTTATATAGGTAACTTATTTAACTTTATTTGTATAAGTAATTAAAACTTTTGTTAGGTACTAAAAAAGGTATTGTAAGTGTACATTTTTCTGAGGGAAATAAAGATTTTTTTTTAATTTATTTATATTAGTTATATAGAGCAGTTTCTAATAGATAGAGTGATTGAAAAGGAAGGTTTATACATATGATGATACCATCCGTTAAAGAGTTTAGGCGCGAAGCCGGGACGGGTCGCTAGTTGAAAAATGTTACATTAATACATATAACTTATATTTTACCACCTCAATTTATTTTTCTAACAACATAAAAGTACCTTTTGGATGAAAACGTAATTGCGTGTCGCCACTTGACAAGTGTATTGATGAGAAAATCAACAATTTCCTCTTTGGCTTCTAAATTCTTTAGGTCTTAGAAAATAATATTTCAACATATATTCTGTAAAAGTCCGAGTGTGTATGAGGGGGGATGGGAGGGGGGAAAGGTTGGGCTGATGTAAGGTAAAAATTTGATATTTTACTTTATTACTGAGTCTTATGGAAGTAAATAGGTACATGCTTACTACGTAGATAACTTTTCATTACTAATAAAATTTTCACAATATATTTCGTAGATTAATCTCACAAACTCATTTTACTTAGGTACATATAATATTAGTATCGAAACATTTAAGTCAGTAGCCACCTTACTCAGGTAAAGGCTATTTCACCCATCCACCATCCATCGAAATAATCATAAAATAGCGTTAAGTTTTATCTATCATCGTTTGAATTTAGAAAAAGAAGAAAACGATATGTTTTTGTCCTTGTCATTTTGGGTCTGACGTCATTGACGTGTCATTTGTTTTATATTTTGTTACAGCATAATTTAAAAACAAATGTAGAATTAAGAAAGAGAACGCAATACTCTGTTGATTCTGTTCTTGTCATTTCGGGTTTGACGTCATTGATGTGTCATTTGTTTTATTTTTTAACACACCCTACTTTATAAGTGACGTTAGAATTTAGAAAGAGAACACAACAAACTGTTGTTCCTGTTCTTGTCATTTCGGGTCTGACGTCATTGACGTGTCATTTGTTTTTCTGCTGGAAATGTAGCAAAAGAAAAATAGTTGCATTTAGAAAGAGATTGCGAGATATGCCTTTCTCAGTCATTTTAGGTGTGACTACACGCGACTAAATTGATGTGTGATTTGTTTTTGAATTTTATTGGTAACGCCGCAATACTTAGGTCGCGGTGGGCAGTTTAACTTTTCTCCCGTAGTGTCAGTAGCTAATTTATATTTTTTGAATCAAAATGAACCTTTTTTCCTCTTGTTGAATTACCTAATTAGGACTTTTTACATATACTTTATGATGGTGTTTTGATCAATCGTGTCAATTCTCAGCGGTTTGAAAATTATTCTAACCTCGGATGCCAACATTGACTGGACAAATAGGTAATTTTGTTGCTGACTAAATAATTAATGTTCATCATCACCCGACATTGTAGTTGCGTTTGTAGTGGGTATGTCGGCGAGCGATCAGCCATCATGTAAAGAAATGAAAGAGAACTTTGCTCCTTTTTCGTTACTTTTATATCCTATGCTTGCATTTTTAGTAAAATATACGAAATAGTCTTAATCTCTACTGAAAGTAATATACATATACTTATTAAGAAATAATATCACTTTTTGGAACAAAACCGACAACCAAACAATACGACCTTCTTACCCATTACCGACCTAAATAGGTCATAGGGACGTGACACTCGCTACATTATTCCCGATTATTCCGTACAATCGACTAAATCGAATAATTTATCTTCCGAATATCACGTATTTAATGTAAATCACGACTCGATATCTCGAATAGTTACGATATAGACATGTAAATCATATTGACGATCACAGACGCAAATTTTATTATAGCAATTTGTCTGACTTATGCAGTGCCTATGAATATAATTTCGTATCTAATAGTTAGAAGTGCACCAACTGAATAATATGTGTGAAAATGATAATTTATTTTGCCGGAAATTTTCATAGATGTTTGATACTTTGTGTGACTGTGGTAACATAGTAAGTGTGGGAGAGATATGCTAAAGCACGAATGGGCCAAACTCGGCTGAACTGGAGTGAAACCACGGCCTCAAACAAAACCGGCATATAACAACCACAGTACTGTGAGTTGAGATTACCGGAGGCCCAATCCTTCCCCTCCCCTAATCCCAAAATCTCCAAATCCCGAATCCCCAAAGGGTCGGCCACGCACTCGTAACTCCCACGTTGTTGCGTGTGTCTCTTGGCGACGCTGATTGCTTACCATTAGGTAAGCCGTCTGACTGCTTGCCGTCATATCACATACAAATCTAAGTAGTTCAGTGGCTACGTGCGCTACGTCATGCGTTGCGCCATTCTATTCACGAATATGAGTCCCTAGCATGGCTTGAAATTGATCGAGTTGGGTTTAGATGGACGTACAAAATTTATTAGTTATTTTCAATAAATCACACTATATATGTAGTTACTGTACAAAAAAACTACTGTTACACTATATGGTTTTTAATGAAGCCATAACTTTTGTGACCTTTGATCGGCTTTATAGCCAAACAATAGGTATTGTCTCTGTATTGGATAAAACTTTATTTTTAAAATATGAAATAACTGGGCAGACTGTATTGTAAGTACCAAAGTAATATGAGAAAAAATGTAGGGTGATTGATAATTAGTGACTAATATTTGAACATGTAATTGTATTTATAATAACAAACAACTTTCCTATTAGTTTCATTTTTATGACTATAACGAAATTCTTTTAAATGTGGGAGAGCCAAGCTTCGGCACGAATGGGTCGACTCGACCGGAGTGATAACACGGCCCCACAGAAAACCGGCGTGAAACAACCACAGCGTTGTGTTTCGCCGTGTGAGTCAGGTTACCGGAGGCCCAATCCCGCCCTTTCCCCTATCCCTTCCCGATCCTTATATCCGCAACCCCTTTCCCCAAAAGGTCGGCAACGCACTCGTAACTCCTTTGGTGTTGCGGGTGTCTATGGGCGGCGCCGATTGCTTACCATCAGGTGATCCGTCTGCTCGTTTGCCGACTTATACCATAAAAAATAAGAAATTGGTGTGTTAGTGACTAAGTTGAAGCGAAGTGAACGCGCTGGGCCTCGCCGTTAACAGCTAATCGCTTGCGCACGAAGTTTGTTATAAGTAGTAATAAAGAATAAAACTAATGAGTACCTATAGAAAAAAAAAAAAATCAGCAAAGTTTTTTGCTATCATAAGTACAACCACGTGGTCACTAAATACCAGTTACCCTATATACTTGAAACGGACAAAATATATAGTTACCTAAATGGTGTGGTACATTGTTCTGGTCATCAGTGAACCAGTCAGTGCTGCTGACGCGGTCAGCGCAGTGGGGCGGCACCACACACCGCAGGACGGCCGCGTTCCCTGCCATCACGTATTCGTCTGGCACGTGGATCTCCCATGGTATGTTTAGTGCTGTCAAAAAGGAAAGAAAAGAAGTGGTTAGTTGTAATTTGGTCCAAAATTTTGGCTAAGATTGGATTGTAGTTCGTTTTATTTCGGTCCACGATTTTGGATATTATCGCCATCTGTGTACTGCAAAAAACGTGGTGGTGGCTCGTAGGTTAAGGAGCCCGCTTTTCATGCACGAGGGAGCAGATCGAAACCTGACAAGTTCCAATGTGACTTTTTCTGAGTTATTTGTACTTTCTATGATTATTAGATACCACTGACATACGGCGAATGAAAACATCGTGAGGAAACCTGGACTTATAATTTCTTATTATAAGTTTGTAATCACCAATCCGCCTTGAGCAAGCGTGGTGATTTATGCTCTAACCTTCTCCATGTGAGAAGCTTTGCTCAGCAGTGGGCACTTATAGGCTGATGATGTATGTATGTTATTGTGAACTCAGAATAAAAACTAAGTGACACAGGATGATTGTAGACAGTCAAGAGTCTGACGCTCTCGCCCGACCAAAGGCAGGCAAAGCAATTTGATAATTTTCTGGTCATATTTGTTAAAGAAGCTGTAATTAAATGCTGGGTAATGAGTCATTGTAAATTATCTGGAAGAGCTCAGCTTTAAGAACGCTTTGTGAGTGATTTTACAGAAAAAGTTTTTTGGTGTAATTAAGATTGAAATGTAACTATGTACCCAACCAACCAGAAATTAAATAAATAGTAAAAGAAAATGAAAACAATCCAGACTTTGTTTATTTCTCAAAAGTGACATTTATTATTCTAGGCAATTTACCGAATGCTTTGTAGAGTAAATAATGACATTAATTAAAGTCTTCGGAGTTTTTATATTATACCCTATTTGAGATCCTGAGTCTTATTTGGTACATAAGCAATATCAATAAATAATTCCATACCAAAAATTCTACATATCTAACTATGTGACTGTGTTATTTTTAGTAAGTAATTATTGCAAGTATTTGCTTAGTAGTCGGAACTTGTAAGCTAATAAGAATGTGTTGAAATAAAACATCACGCTAAGACCAATAGGAGCTGAATAGCGGATAAATAAAGAAAGAAAAATTATTTATTTGCACTGAACATGCCTCACATCAACATCATCATCATCATCATCATCATCATAATCATCATCATCATCATCATCATCATCACCAGCCCATAAGTGCCCACTGCTGAGCGAAGGCCCCTTCTCACATGGAGAAGGTTTGACCATTATTCACCACGCTTGCTTAATGCGGGTTGGCGATTTCCAACTTATAATAAGAAATTATAAGTCCAGGTTTCCTCACGATGTTTACCCTTCACCGTATGTCAGTGGTGTCTAAATAATCATAGAAAGTACATATAACTTGGAAAAAGTCACATTGGTAATTGCCAGGTTTCGAAACCCACACCCTCATGCATGAGAAGCGAGCTCTTTAACCTCCGGGCCACCACGACCCCTCATAGCCTCACATAGATATGTGCAATGATTAGAAATAAAAAACAAAAATAAAACAATAAAAAGTAACATAAAATAAATAAATTTTACTTAAACAACTAAAAAAAAAACGAACAATCAGATACTCGTAGCAGCATGCCCATTGCCCATGGGAAAGGTACCTAAACCATTTCAGTATTAGTTGGGCTCAGTGTGAGCCCAACACTGGTTTTCAGTTAGCACCATTGCAGTGACGTACGGACGGAAGCAACAAGAAGAACATAAAGTAGAAAAAGGAGAAATGCGAATAATATTTTATATTATATAATAAATAATATTTATAAAATAAAAAATAATTAAAAATAAACCACAGAGGTGGAGCTAGTATGTAATAATTACAGGTCAGCACAAGAATAGGGCACAATTAAAATACTGTCGACTACGCTACCTCAGTAATCTCTTTTAACACAAACGGTGAATTTTCTTCGTAGATCTCTAATTGCGGATTTCAAATCCCTTTATCCACGGTTCATTAAGTATATTTCCCGTGGAATGTTGCTGAGGACACGTTATCTACAATTCATTATTAAGATTGCGGTACTTTTGTTCTACTGTTTCGTTTAAAATGCTTCGCTAGATATTCAATTAGTTTGCTAAATAATTAAGTCCTTAACGATAAGATAGATAATGCATGAACATGATACATGACCTTTGTTTTAAAATAAACAGCTCTAAATAAATCCATATTATATTATAAAGGGCACCAGTACTGTTTAAGTATATTATCAGTACTTACTTACTAGTGAAAAAAACACCTGTGAATCTAATGTTAACATAAAAAAATCTACTCATATTATGAAGAAGTTTGTTTGTTTGTCCGAGCTATTCTCCGGAACTATTCATGTCAATCGAATGATTATTTTTGTCTTGAAAAGTAAATTTATCGAGGAAAGCTATGAGCTATAACTTGTATATACTACTGTAAGACAAGTAGCGGGTTAAACCACGCGCGAGCATCTAGTAATAATATACTATATAATGCGACATAAATAACGAAAGTAATTACCAATGACACATCGGCGTTGCATTCTAATTTCAAAATTAATTTTCCAGCATACATAATTAATGATTCGACATATGACTCACAGATTATTTCTATGCTCACCAAAATTAATTGATACTGGCAACAAATTACTCGTCGAAATTAATTATTCTGGCAACATTTAGTTAATGTTATATAATATTATGAGAGTATTTCGCGTACAAAGGGAAGTGCATTTCCGCTATTAATTAGGCTGCAGTTCCAAGATGGATGCCGAGATGCTAAGATTAGTATTTCGAGTTAGTTTGAGGTTAACTGAGATACAAAATACGTATTTGTCTTTAGTTTAACTTGGGCTCTGTTGTGGTGATACAAATTTAGGTAGTAACATTTAAACTATTTTGCAAGTAGGTTAATAAAGAAATTTGTTAATTAAGTAGCGAAGTGTATAATCGTCATCCAGCGACCGCTAGTTGAATAAAACTACATTTTTTTTAAGATTAAACGTTGCCGCACACTAGGAATTTCTCTTGTGTCGTGGGTGCGTTGTACAAACATACAATTTCAAATACCTACACATGACACCCAGACCCGAAACAACAATTTGTGGATCACACAAAGTGTTGTTCCGTACGGGATCGAACTCGCGACACGTCGCACGGCAGCCAGTTGCCCAGCCACCTCGCCAAGCGTGCAGTCAAAATAGGTATAATATGACAAAGCCAATTAAAGAAGTTCGTTTTTTTTTTAATATAGCTAAAAATCTAAACAATTTATTTATTCGCGAAAAATAGTACCTACTCAATAATAAAACTAAGATATAACGACAAAAGATATATACTTTAATATAACACAACAACAAAGACAACAAAATTGGTTTTAACATCAACGGAACGAACAAACCGCAGATACTACCAACTGTTATTTTGTGAAGCGCACTCAAGACTTATTGAACTGTATCTCCGAGAAGCCAATTTTCTGGTCAAGTACGAGACGAACTGCTGGAGTAATAAGTTTGATATAAATTTATCTCAGTTACTCCCGTCAGTGAGTACCTAGCTACATTTTATATATTTCAAAGGAATTCCAGGTCGTTATTTTGTATTAGCTTTGAATTTTGTTTGAAAACCATATTGTTAGGTTAGGTTCGTGAGATTTTATCATTTATTATTCTTTTACAATCTGTCATTAACGTCATATTGATGATAGGTATAATGATATTCTAATATTTTATGATCATTGTAGTCAATATTGAAAGTAAAATATATATTATCAGAAAACATAAAAAAATATTTTCATCAACGTATTCTCCTTCCCTTGTAGGACTCAACACATTCCGTATTATTATTAATATTGATCGTTAAATTAGGTATATTTTCTATAATAATTATTTTTATTACTTCATTATATGTAACGAAAGTTTAGGCAGTGGTTTATTAGTTATGTCAATAGATGACACCATTTAAGTTTTAAGTTCAACAAGAGCTCTAATACTCGTAGGTACCCTTTATGATACCTATACGTATAATGCGTAAGACAAATTAATATATATTATATATATAACCGAATAATAAATATATACCTAATACCTATGTATATATTTTAATTTGTCTTACGCTATAATTTTCTAAATGGTCTCTTGTAGAAGTGATAATTATTACATCACTTCTAGGTTTGGATAAAAAATAGTCCATTGCTGACAATGGACCTGAATCACGACTAATAAAATTTTACGATTTAATAAATTCTTTAACTTACCAGCATGTACATGAATGTTCTTGGAGAGAATGGCGAATCCACTGTTGAGTCTTAGTCGGCATCTGTATGTTGTGGCGTGGACATCTCTCCTGTAATGTTCCGCGGGAAAGGGGGAGAGCTCTAAGGAACCATTGGCCAGGATCCGCCGGAGGCCTTTTAGGGTACCAGCTACCGTATTATCCGGGAGTAGCCAGTCCAACTGTGGACAAACAAATATTAAAAGGTTAATTTTGATTGTAATATATTTTTTTCTTTTGCGTGTCGCAAGTAATTTTTTGATTTTTCTCGTTTTCTCAGCTAGGCTGTTTAATACATCAAACCCCAAGCGAAGGCCGGCGTTCGTGTACACATTGTCTTACCATTGTGTCTCAAATAACCACGATTGAAAAGTTAACTAAACTTTAGTCCTGTTTCAGGGTTGTCACTTTAGCAAGTCAGAAGCTATTGTCAAGAATTAAATGGCCAAGGAATTCCGATGATTCAGCCAAAATTGGTCTATCATTTTATTAATCATAAGCTTAAAATCAAACTGAAAATCAATTTGAACATAATATGAGTTACTTCGAAACGAAGCATGAAAGCAATATCACTAGTTATAGATACACTTAGATATGTATATGATGTTTTTAAACAGCATAATGTCTGTATATAGCGATTACACCTAAACACAGTAAAGCACCTTATAAATTAAGATGAAAACGCCAAAGTTTTTAATAAACCATTTTAACCCCATTTTAAAATAAAGGTAAAAATATTCACGTCCCGCGTTCACTGTTCGTGTCAACCTACTCAAAGAGTATTCCGTCGTAACTGAGTAATAAAGCGCGTACCGCTTCAGCAAAAGGATAAATAAAGTCAATAAAAACTTCTTCGGGCAATAATAATAACAAGGTTTTCATATAAACACTAGCTACTATCACGCGGTTTCACCCGCTGCTCGGCTCCAAATGATCGTAGCGTGATGTTTTATAGCCTATAGCACTCAGGAACATTGTAGCTATCTATCAGTGAAAGAATTTTGGCAATCTGACCAGCGGTTCCAAAGATTACCCCCTACATACAAACTTACAAATTTTACCTCTTTATAATATTAGTTTAGATAACATTAACTTTCAACGTTTAACTAAAACGAGAAACGTTATCAAATAACGTTAATTTGGCTAACACTCGTTTTCGAACACTTTTAAGGGTATGGAAATAAAGAAGATTAAAAAAATATCGTGGTCCCATGGTTTATAGTAGCGTGAAGATTAGCTACTGAATACATTAATAATGCAAAGGGTGATTTAGAATCATTTTTATAATATAATACATAATATGTATATACATGCTATTGTTCACTGTGGAGTAAGGTCGTGGAAACGCTTAATCGTGATTTCTTTCTCAATTTAATTAAATTTAATCATAAACTTGTTTATTCTTATGTAGTTTTAGATTTAAGACTTTCGTGATTGAAAGCTCATTATGTCCAACAAACATATTTTTTTTATATAAATCGTACCATGCAACATACCACTACATATTCTGGGTGCGGTTACAAACATAAAATTTGTTATACACATGTTACCCAGACCAGGAACAACAACTTAAGGGTCACAAAAAGAGGGGTTCCGTGTGAGAAACGAATCCGCGACACGATGCGCGGCAGCCAGTTGCCCAACCAAAGCGCAACCGTGCAGTCCTTTTAATCCAAACGTGCTAATTGGACTTAATAATGCACACGTGATGGATTAGATTAATTAGTAAATATACGTATATACATATACATTGCATTCGTGTATATAATTCAATATATCACAGAACATAACAAAAAACACAATATATTAATACAGAACTACATTCTAAATTGGAAAACAAGAATTTGTTTGTATCTACAGATCCACATTCATAATCGCATTTGCTTGAAGTCAAACTATGCAAAGTCGGTGAGGTATATAATAAGTCTGATTGGGACTACACCATATCAAATACGATGACCCTAACTTGGAGCGGGAGAAGAAATGGGTTGGTTTTTAGTCGTTTTAGTCAGTTTAGTCAGTAAGAGCCTAACACTCCCTCCCACTCCACCCATGACGGGAGCAGTTACTTGATGATTTTTCCCTCCTGTTAAGAAAACACCTCAAATATTTAACACAAAATTTTAACACAAATTTTTTGTAAGTTAAGTACATAAATCCCAAAAGGTATAAAGTATGACAGTAAAACCCATTGAAAGTTCAGGCCGTTACAAAAGTAACGTATTGTTCTGGAATTCAAAAGTCTCACGTAAAAAAAGCAAAAGTTGAGACACAGTGGTTTTTGTGACAGTTAATACGATATAACGTGATATTTATATCTCTCGGGGGTATTTTTGGTATCGTTATGAGCTACGCTTTCACATCCCTCGGGTGTCTTTGGCGTATCACATAGTTTTTGCATCCCCATCTGGGTTTTTTAAGTAAATATGTATTGTATGTTCTTTGGCTTAGGATTGGATGTCCGCTTGTAGTTTTTGTTTAAAGCTATTATTTTGGTGTTTTTGGCTTTGGTTAATTTACAAAGACCTAGCTTATTATATTTTAAAATCTACAAGCCTACTGTAGGACTCTGAAAAAGACGGATGAAAAGCGATTGCATTTAGCAGAGATGAGAATGTTGAGATGGATGTGTGGTGTGACGAGAATGGATAAAGTGAGAAATGAGTACATTAGAGGAAGTTTGAAAGTGGTGTAACAACTATTCTTAGTTAGATAAATAAAACAGATGCTATGATGATAGCCGCCAGTGACGGAAAGTTACTGTCCTAAAAAACGAAGTGAAGAAGTCATTTGCACTGTGTCTATTTTGGTGCAGTGGTTAGAAGTTATTCGTTTATGTTAGTTACCTCAGAATATAGTCATTCAGTTTTAGACAAACTACATAGAGTTATTCAACATCTTTTAACTTTAAATAATCTTAAAACGGTCTAACCCACGAACAAGTTTGAGTATAAAATATGTACGGTGATAGTTTGTGGTGTGTTTCAGGCAAATTTGCATTTTTCCGTGCCATTAAACACGGCCCGCCGTCCGACCGGTCGACCGGCCCGTCGACGGTCTCTCGCTATTTAATTCACAGCTATTTCAATATATTTCACTGATTTCATGCTGACATGAACAGTGATTGTTTGAGATTAAAATTAAATATTTTATTTACTTGTCTGGCACACGACCTGTGCCGATCGACATTTGTATTACAAAAAGCTTAAGATCTTTCTGCCATTTTTTTTTTTGTTAGGAGAAAATCATCAAATGACTTCTCCCACACAGGATGAGACGAGAGGTCTCGCTCTCTCTTACTGACTAAAAACCCCCCATTCCTTCTACTGCTCTAGGCCGAGGTCGCGGTGCCTCATTGCGTTTACCCCGCAACTCCTGAAAAAATACTTAAGGTCTAATTTTATTTGCATAAATAATAATTAAAATGAATGGTTAAAAGAAACACACTAAAGCTTTAAAGAAATCTGGTCTTTGCATACATCAAAGGAGTATAAATATGTCTAAAACTTTAATTATTTACTGTGAAAAGGTATTCAAAATAAGAATTTGATCACAGACATTGTCTTGGTTTGATAAAAGCGTTTGGAACCTTTACTAAGGCATCGGTGCTCCACTCGACAAAGGCTCAAAACTTTTGAATTCAAAGTAAAGTACCTACTATATAGAGATGTAACGTTTTGTATTGCAAATTCCTCAGGTCTTATGTTTCATGGAAAACGAGCTCTTCTAAGTAATCTTACTGCCAAAACTTATAAAAAATTTTTTTTGACGAAATATTTCAGTCAGTAACATATTACGCTTACTTAGACTCAAGTGGTAACTTATGAGGCGTATTTGACTGTACAAATCTTATAAAAATTGTTAGTTCTTTGTTTGAATAGTTGTTATATACCTATAAGTCGAACAAAATGTGGGTGGGTTTAATAAGGTGCAGAAGGATTACCTGATGGTAAGCAATCAGCACCGGTCATGTACACCACCTGTGCGAGAGGAGTTGTAAGTATGTCGCCGGCCTTTAGGATTAGAGGAACAGCTGATTTAGACATTTTGGATTCAATATGCCAAAAATTGTTATTTCTTGTTTTGAGATGATCGGCAAAAGACTCGCGACGACAGATATCTTCATTAAGTATTAATAATATACCAGCCACCCCTTGGTAAAAGAAAGTTTACGTAATGCAATAGTATCTACACTAAAGAAAATATTATTCAATATTTTTCTGCTACCTACCTAAAGTTGATACTTTTCTATCTACTGCGAAACAGAAAACCGAGGGATGCCGCGTTGGTTTAAGGAGCGCCATTTTAAAAATAACACAGTTCATGTTGATAGAAAATGTTGGCTGGAACTAAGCTCGGTTTAAATATAAAAGAAAATAAGATTGAAGTAAAGATACAACAAGTCTTAAGACTAGATTACAAAATGTTATTAGAAATGTGTTGGAGTTTTTTATAGTTACTAGACAAGTTAATGACTTCAGAACATTATGCACATTTTCCTCAAAGAGATGTTACACCTACTATTAGAAGTCCCTACTTGAAGACCCAAAGAGGAAGAAACTTGGTAGTTTTCAGTCAGATAGAGATTGACACTCCTTCTCGCTCTATCCAAAGAGGGAAATGTCATTTTTAATGTGATAGGTCGGCAAACGAGCAGACGAATTATCTGATGGTAAGCAATCAGCGCCGCCCATGGGCGTTGATAGTTGACCATCAGAGAAGTTACGTGTGCGTTGCCAGATTTGAGGGAAGGATTGGGCCTCCGGTAACCTCACTCACACGGCGAAACACAAGCTGTGGTTGTTTTACGCTTGTTTTCTGCGAGGCCGTGGTATCTCTCCGGTCCGGTCGAGCTGACCCATTCGTGCCGAAGCATGGCTGTCTAACATTTAAGGATGGCTGTTTTAACAATTAAGGTTGATTTGATTTTCTTCCTCAAAAATAGGGGTATGCCTGTAATTTTTAAGTTGGCCCAAATTGTGTTTTTACAAACATATAATTTCACATACTCATTACACCCAGACCTGAAACAATAATTTTCGGATTACACAAAGAGTTGCACAGCGACCTCATCAACTATATTATATTTATAATGTTTGAGGACATGAAATAATTATTTTTATTACATTACAATATTATTCAAATTTACCGAGAGTATAAGGAGCTAACTATTAATAAAGGTTTCTAACAAGAAGGTCATTTACCCGATCTAGATTTTAGGTAAGACAGGATTCTCCGTAATATACCTACTTATTATTATTCAACCGAATTTGCTTAAGTCCTAAACCTGACCTTAGGGTCTAAATCTAGTTCTTAGATCTGGCTTAAATCTGTCTATTAATATT